GAGTTGTGGGAGGATGTCAAAGGTATCATCCAGGAAGAGTGCAAACGGTCATTACAAAGACAGAAGAGGAAGAAAAGACCAAAATGGATGTCAGAAGAGAGTCTGAAGATTGCACTGGAGCATAGAGAAGCCAAAGCACTAGGCAGAAATCAAGATACTAAAGAGCTGAACAGAAGATTCTAAAAGGCTGCTCGGAATGACAAAGCTTGGAATATACCCTGAGAAAAATGAGAACTGAGGCACAAATGGAGACTTATACACCAAGATTCATAGCAGCATTATTCACCATCGTAAAACCATGGAAACAGTGCAAATGTCTAGCCACAATCTAATGGATTGAAATATTATGGTACATTTACACGATGGAATACTGTGAATCACGCATGAGTAATGATTTTGTAAACCACTATCTAACTTGGGAGCGACTGGAGAACATTATTCTAAGTGAATGCAGTCCCTTAGGACAAATACTGCATAAAAAATATTGTAGAAATAGATAACTAATAAAACATGTATGGGGATCAAAGGGGGGAGGGAGGAGCAGAAGGGTGAGGATGGGGGGAACGAGGTGTGGGTTAAGGAAATGGGAAAGATCCTATGTGGAAAACAATGTATATGAACTTTGCAAGTAAACCAGTTTATATTTTTTTAAAAAAATAATCTATAATACTATTGTTATCCAAGGAAGAAAAATCAGAAAGGAAAAAAAAGGTGGTCTCAATTCAGCTTTCCTCTCCTTTTGTTGGGTCTTGACTCTTGTATAAAAGTTTGCTTAGATACTGGGGGATGGGAAATATGTAAGAATGACCCCACAAAATATACTCCCTGGGAGTCCATTTCAAACCTTCTGTAGCCTGGATGGAAATGGATTTACTGACAACCAATTAATCGTCAATTCTTCCTTAGGATTGGTTGCTTCAGGACATTCTTCAAAGGAGTGGGTAGGAGGAAAAGCTTAATCACAGCCCACACAAATTGACTGCAGTCTCAGGCAGTTCACCTGCACTGTATCATAGAAAATAGGGTTCAGTTTGTCATGTTTGGGGAAACTATCCAACCTTAGAAGAAATTCACCTAGAAACATCACAGTGAAATATCTGTATACACACAATAAGAGAACAGGTCTACATCCTTCCTTTTATAATTGGGAAAATATCTGATTTCAAATTCCAGCAAAAAGCCTTGGAGTATAAATGACAACTAACTGACATCAATAAAACTGTGAAGAAGAAAAAAAATCGAGGTCTTATAATGACATAGTTAAAAAATATTTAGCTTTTATTGAGAGTTTTAAACAAGTAAATGCATCTTGGAACACGCAGATTGATATAAATCAAAACAGCCTGAACTTTGTGTGGTCCACTTAAGCAGGGTATATAGAAATAGATTATAACTTTCCTATGAGTGATATTGGGGGAAAGCTGATTTTTAGAACAAATTCCAGTATATATGGATTTTAAGATAATTAAAATTCATAATTTGGTATTAGGAGAAAAAAGACTATAATGTTTAAGTCTGAAAATAATCTATGAAGATACTTATAAAACTTTTAGCAGTTATGAAATAATTTTTCTTACAGCATATCTATTAAGGGTGAGAAGAAATCATGTACTGCTTAATTCTCACTATAAAATATAAACAATTAGTAGTGATAGAAATAAAATAAATAGAGCAGTAATGGAGATCTTAATAAAGACTAATTCCCAGAAATGGAAAGTAGGAAAATACAGTGGGATGTGAAGTGTTCTTGCCAAGTGAAAGATGTTTAGATTTCCTGGTTGCAAGGTTTTAAATGGCATGCTTTTTATCTTCATGAATTTCAATTAGACTTTGCAATGGGCAAGTCCGGAAGGGAATATTAATGACGGAAGAGAAAGCTGGGTGGTGTTAGAGCCAACTACATGGAAGAGCAAATGTTTGTTTAGCTTGTAGTATATTAAATACTCATTCCGAGTGTGGTGATTAATAGGTTAAGAAGGACAACTTGAAGATATTTACAATGGAAAGATTCTCAGTCTACTCATATCTTGAAAGCAAATCCAAAATTTACTGTAGATTAGTAGTGCTGGTAGGAAAATCGCACCATCTAGGGAAAAGCATCTGAATTTTTGGTGCATAACTAATGCAATTCAAGTGTCTGGTCCATATAGACTCTGAACATAGAATGGCAAACAGTATCAGCATACTTTATCTTTTAATTTCCCTGTAAAGTGTTTACCGTTTATAACTTCCTAAGAAGATAAATACCTGCTTTGCTTTGCCTTAGTATGTGCGTAACATTTTGTGTTGTGTGTAGTACAATGAAAACGTCTTTTTTTTCCTTGTTCAAATTGTACATTTGAATTTCATCACCTCAGTTAAAATAGAAATGAGACATATCAGACACACAATGCTGAACTCCAACGATGGCACTGTGATTACAAAAGTTTCCTTACCACCAAAGAGCCCTGAGGTAGTGCAACTCTCCACCCTTGTCACTGTCACCCCCACCTCCCAAACCCATTCCCCACGTATAGAGAGGAATAAATTGCATAGGTAGCGGAAGCACAGCGGGCTCACTTTTGCTCAAGGCTAATGCAAACTTTTTAAAAAGGGCTATTAGACTGAGTTTGGCACTAGGAAGGGAGGCATGTGGGCAAAGTACTGCTGAGTGAGAGCTCCAGGTTTCCCAAGGTGTCTAATCTGCAATTGTACTTTCCTGATGAGCTAGAGGGAAGATTCTAAGGGGAAATTAGTCTTGCTTGCACAAGCTTGGAGGAACATCAGTTACATCAAGAGGCCTCAGGAAACCAAAGAAAACTAAATAAAAACCTCCCAAACGACACACACACACACACACACACACACACACACTCAAACTTCTTGCTGTTTGATTCTACGCGAATGCGTTGAACTTGGTCCTGCGTGGATGCGCTCGCTGATGACTAAGTACAGGCATGATTAGTCCCTTCGCCTCCAGCGGGAGCGAGATACCTCTTCACCTCTCCAAGGCAGCCACGTCTCTCCGGAGCCGCGGGATGTTGGGGGGCAGGCGACGGGGCGCCGCACCCAGGAGCTAAGGCCGCACACACCCGCAGCATTCCCGGCTCCTGACGGACACCCCGCGGCAGCCCGCCAGGAACCTCGGGGGAGCCCGGCAGCGGCGCGTGGGCTGCGCTCCTCCGGCGCGGCGTGGATGCGGGGATCTGCGCTCTGGGCGCCCGCCGCCGCTCGGGGCTGCGCGGGTGCAGGTGCCCAGCGGGCGGCGGACACCTCCCGGGGTCAGAGGTGGGGGCCCCGGGCGTTCTCCCGGGGTCAGAGGTGGGAGCCCCGGGCGTTCTCGGGGAACCTCATTAGCTCGCCTCGCCGGCCAGGCTCCTCCTCCTCTTCCCAACGCGGAGCTCGTGCCCGCCACCGCCTGCGCACACCGCGCCACCGCCCGCGTTTTCCTCCCCCCAAGCCCGCCGCCCCGCCTGCTCCGGCCGTCGCTCCCCCTCCCTTCCTTCTTCCTCCTCCTCCTCCGCCCATTACCGCCACTACGGACGCCTTCGCCTCCTTCTACTCCTCACGCCGCTGCCTCTCTCTGCGCTCCGCGCTGGCTCGCGCCCAGCCCAGCGCTCCCCGCTAGCTCCGCGGCAGCTGCGGCAGTCAGTCTCTTTCTCTGTCTCCTCTCAAGTTTCCCCATCTCATCAGATTAGGGCAAAGGGAAGAAAACACCGAATTCGGCTTACTGCTTCAGGTAGGGTGGCACGCGTGGGTCCCGACACGGAGACCATTTCCCTTCTCCCCGTGCATGTCTCCTCCACCCCACTCTCCGTGGCTTTCTGGCAACCTCGCGGGAGGCTCTGGATGCCCCCCTGTTCTCAAGAGCCCATTTAAAACAGTCATTTCCATACTCATTCCCCCCCCCCCCCCAAGCGTATTTGCAACTACAGCCGGATCAGAGACTCTCCCCTGGCGCCTGGTTCGCCTCGCTCTTTTATAGTCTTCAACTTTGCACACCGGGCTGGCCCCCGTCGCCTGCCCGGCTGGTGTTTGATCCTGGAGCCTCGCGCTCCTCCTCCTCGCATTGTGGCAGTGGACTCCTGAACTGCTGTCAGACGCGTCGTTTCGCAGCAGTTGATCTGATCCGGCTCGCCCTGAGACGTGGGCTTGAGCAAGTGTGGATGGGCAGGAAGGGAGATGCTTTTATTTAATTTCGGAGGGAGTGAGGACTGCAGGTGAGTGTAAAGAAAAGGGTAATTGCGAAAGTGAGCTGACTGCCCCGTTTCTCGCCCATCCCCTTGTGATTGCGGGGGTGGTCTTGGCAGGGAGGGTTGTGTCACGAAGTGCCTATTTCTCCTCCCCTTTCCCAGTTTCCCCCTTACACCCCATTTCCTTCTCCTTTTCCTATACGCTTAGGGCCCCTGGGGTTGTTATGTGTGTGCACACAACAGTGTTTGCTCCTCGTGGGGCTGGGGGAAGTTCTTAGTAAAGCTAAGTCTGAATATTTGCTCATCTTGCTGTCAAAAAAGAAAAAAAAAACCCAAACCCTGTACCTCTCCTCCCCCAGCCATCGTTCTCTCCACTCACTCGACTGGAGTAATCTTCATAGCTTTAACTCCTGTTCGCCTTTGAATAACAATTTTAGGGTTAAGCGAATGGAGGGGACTAAATGTAATTTGAAATATCTTTTGTTTCTCTCCCCGCCCCTCAGACTTCCAAAAAAAAGAACAGGAATGAAGAGGAAATGGGCCTTTTACAATATGCAGTTGCTGCTTCTGGTTTTCTTGGTGTGGGACCCAGCCAGGTGAGACATTTTATTGTATTTGAGCCTTCTGCTTCAGGGTCAGCCTCTGTTTCTTGAATGCCTTCAGCGGAGGGGTGGCTTTTGAGAATCTGGGTTATTTTGAATAATTATTTCTAATGAAAATGACTGTACCAGAAGACTGAAGTAAGAAGTGGCATAGCCTATAAAAAAGTTCATTGCTACTTGTTTTTAAATAAAACATTTTCTCAACAAAACCTGAAAAATTCCACTGAAAGAATACCCTTTGGGTGTTGTCCTTTAAATAGTTATTGGTCTTATGATTACAACAAAATTTAGTGAGGAAGCCAATGGTTTTCCCTGGATCCAAACAGAAAAGATAAAATGACTGAGTGAATGTTAACACTCTCTTGTCCTTTTTTCTCTTTCTCTCAAATAATTTTGGCCCTTTTAGTCAATCGAGAAAACCCCAAATGATGTGTCAGTCTTAAACCTCTAGGTGGAGGTAGCCTACTACTTCACAGTCACAAACAATCAGAAGCTTAATTTATTAGTTAACTTTTAATATTATGGATTTAGAGATAATTTATTTCTAAAATAGTTACTGTAATTAAAGTACCTTTTTAAACAGATAACTAATTTACTTTTCTCTATGCTTTACAAACAGGCACTTCATTTTCATGGCTTTCAGTAACTTGATCATACTTGTAGTTCAGGATCTTATTTTTTATGATGACACTTTAAATGAATCCTACTTGTTTAATGCCTTTAGTATATGATATTCAAAAGAATAGTTTAGAAGTTTTAAAGTTTTTTAAACTAAGTCTTCATTATATCTTGATGTACTTTTAATTTTTACTTTTCCTGTCTAAATATTTATCAGGATTTGAAAATATCCTTTTAAGTACCAAGAAGAAGAAATCGTTCCTTTTTTAAATTTGAAATGATCTACTTTTTAGTATTTGTCTTTTCACTTCAGAAGGGAAATCTGATGTGATTTTAGAAAAAGCAGTCTTGAGTGAAAATATCTACATGCAACTTTATCACCATCTTAGTGATAGGCTTTAAAATGTAATTAAGTAGGCAACATATAAACTTGATAATTGAAGGTGTGAACTAATTTACTTACATAATTTTTTAAAAAATAGCTGCAAAGCAGTGTTTTTTTAAATGTTCTCTCTGTCCTAAGAACAGGGTTTGTTTCAAGTTAGCTACTAGTTTTTTGATACATCAGAAGCATTTTTAGATACACTTTCTATAACCATCTTATCTCAAATAGGCTCTGTCAGTAGTTTCCACAATACACCTTGATCAAATTGCAACCACACATAGTCTTTGAACTTGAAGGGAGTGAACAAGCCGTGATAAATTAATAATCAGTGAAAATCCTGTGCTGCTCATATTTGTCTCCACTAGTTTTCTGTTCTGTATTTGACCAGTAATGCTAAAGTCACTGTATTATTGTATTATATAATTATTCTTTTTGGAGAGTAATTTAAATCTCTGAATCATTCTGGGGGAGAATGGCAGTGAAAAAAGACATTCAGTTTTATACATCCAGTTTCTTCTGCATCAGATTGCTGGATGTCACAAAAATCAGGCTTTATGATAGAGAAATCATGGGAGAAACGACAAACATCACTGTTCCTAACCATTTATGTGGGTATTTTAAGACAGTTTATTCTTTCTTCAAATTTATTACACAGGAGCATAGTGGAGCTAAATTTTAATCCTTATGTAGCCTCTTATCTCTCTCCTTGGAGACCTATCAGAAGGGGCTGTCCCTCAAAGGTTCCCTGCCACAGTGTGTGTTTGTTGCTGATCCATTCAGAGCCCACCTCCACTTCCCTGGCATCCCTTGAGCTTGGAGCAAGGCCAGTGGAGTTTCCCTGATGTCTGTATTGCACTTGGCCATTGGGTGGAGGTATATCCAAAGTAAGGAAATAATCTTGGTTTGAGAGAAAAACACAATTATGGGGAACATAGAGGAATTTTGTACCTCTAAGGAAGCAGTTTATTTTCCAATTAATATTCAGATCACTGAAGAATTGTTTCATGAGCTCCTTTGATGATTGTACCTTTCTAAAGTCAGAGTAACATCACTGATTGTGTCTGTATGTTATAATCTACAGTTACATTTTGTTCTAAAAAAGAGAAGAATTTTGGAAAGAACTGAGTAGAGTGTATAGAATGCTCAGTGGTAGAAATCTGAAGAAATGTTGACATGAAACTCTCTGATATTTTGCGCCCATTTTTAACAGCACATTTACCTTCTCAACAGACACACTGGGTTCAGAGAAGGGGGGGAAAGGGGAAGAAAATGGGGCATAGAATAACTTAAAATGAATTGCAAGGAAGAATATGTTTGGCGTTTGCAAGATATGCTTATGTATGTATCTATCAGCTTGTAAAATTATCTGTTTAGGTTGGTGCTGGCTGACCACGAAGATGAAGCTAAAAATAACATTACCATCTTTACGAGAATTCTTGACAGACTTCTGGATGGCTACGATAATCGGCTTAGACCAGGACTAGGAGGTGAAAATAATTTTACATTTTTTAACTCTCACCAGATAATGCCTGTAAGAGTCGAAGGGTAATAGTTATGCTTTGAGTTAATATATTCTCTATGTGATTTTACTATTATGTTTTAAAAACTATAGAAAGTAAGGTACATGAAGCACACATCTGTAATTCATTTCAAGTACACATATATTATACATTCAGCTTTTCTTTTCTAATATACCTAAAGTCATATGGTCCTGGTCCAGATTTCCTGCAAGAATAGTTTTGAAAGTAATTGTTTGTAGTATCTGTAAGTTTTTCAAACTTGAGTGTGTTAATATCAGATAGTATTGGGCTGATATACATGTGTAGTATCATGAATTACTTTCACCATGTTTTGCAAGTACTGTGTTCACGCTAGTACAGATAATTATAGAAATTAGGAGCATAAAAAATGAAAAACGGCCTCTGATTACCTAGTCCATAGAGAGCTGTAGTGGGAAGTATCTCTCTGGGGGTTTGAATCCACCACCAGCTCTCCTAGAGAAAGATGGGAAATTTTCTTTCATGCAGTCTTCTCCTGTTCAATTTACAGCTTCCAGAAACACACTAGAGCATTAGCTCTCTGTGCTGCATTTCAACAAATACACTTAACAGGATTGTAAACTGATACTCCATTCCACACGTGTAATATTTCTAAATACAGTGTAGACTTGCTGTTCTTTAAATTGTAGAAGACATTTTTAGATATACATTTGCTATAGATTTAAATATTTTAGAGAGTGTCATTTTCATGTCTAAATATTTATTTTTAGCACTTAAAAGCAAATCTTTTAATGATAAGGTAAGGGGTGAGTTTTGGCAAAGATGTTAAATTTCAATTATCCAACATAGCTTAGAAAGTACTAAGAATACCAGGTAAAGTAGATAAGTGTGAAATTTCTAAAAGGTATGTGAGTCAAAATACTATTACTCATCTCTTCTGCTCTGCTATGTATAAAGATTTACACACACATACACTTACTGACACACATTTATTGGATGAGTACTTCAAACTTATTCGGGTGTTCAGTTTAAGAATTAATTCAAATTAAGGTGAATTAGTTCAATACTTGATGTTAATGAAGGGTTATGTCATTAGCTTGGCTATTACTAAGTTGACAACACTACAATATCAAGTTGTTTGAAAAGATTTTGATTGAATTATTATTTATGTAAGCATTTTCCTTGCACAGTTTAAGTTGGCTTTTAATTCTGGGGTTGGTTTTGGGTTTTGGGGGATTTTTTTGGCATTGTTTGGTTTTGATCATACGAGTTCAAGAAAATTCAGAGGAACTCCAAACTGTGGTTGAGTAACATTTCGTTTAATTACTATTTGGTTTTTATGTGAATCCCTGGTGGCAAATTGGTACTTAGCATTTTGAAAGAAAAGCCCCACAGAGGAATAATGTTCACAAATATGACACGTTACTTCTCAACCAAAACTTTTATAACAGGAGAACGGAAAGGGGAAAGAATATCTCCTTAGTAAAGAATAAGCTTAATGGGCGTGAATATGGAATTATCATCTATGTTAGTATATGTGGCAATGGGCCAGTGCCAGGCACATAAAAGAAAAAGTCTTTTCAAGCAAAAGTCTGTCATAATTTGTGGTAGTAGTTTAAGAGGTGAATTGGTCTAATGCAGACCTCCCTAAACCATAGGTTTTCTTCTTTTTAAATAAACCATACACTGCCTAGAAGTCATAAAATATTTGAGCTGAAATACATTGTCTCTAAATTTTTAAGAAGAGTATTTACACTTTTGTTGCATAGCTGCCTTTTAAAAATGCCTTATTCTTGATCTCCTCATAAGGCTTTTGTATTAGCTTGTACACCATTTTATTTGTTTATTTATTTTTTAATGTTAGTACTCAAGTCAGGTCTAATTTGTCTTGTTATTTTTTTATAATGCAGTTGACTGAGTCACCTTTCTTCTTTTACTGCCTTCCTTCCCTTATCCTGTGGTTATTGGGTATTTTTAGGTTGTCCGTTTTCAGAGGCTGTAAATCCCATGGGAGGAGATTGCTCTTCTTTTTTCTCCAGAGCAGCTAGTGAATTTGAGCTCCGTGCTTTTGGATTGGGAGCTCAGGTCCTCTTGATTAGGCCACCAGAGAACCTAGATGATTGGATATATTATGATCTAAAAATCTCACAGTTGAATTAGTCGTCGTCTTTTAGGCTCACGCTGGCTTTTCATGTAACTCTGCTCTCTTGATCAGGTACCTTTCATGCCTCCCCATTGCCTTTGGCAGGTGGAGTAGAAGGGACAGAGACTTTAGAGCCAAATAGATGGAGCTAGGCACTTCTCCTACATCCATACATACAAGGCTGTATTGTGTGGTTTTTCTTTTGCTTAAAATGACCACACTACATCTGTCTTAGCACCTTTTAGGGTTATTGGGAGGCTTAAGTAAATATTTTTCTGCACAGAGCAGGTGTCATAAGCTGGCAGTTCTAGATTCCAATCTCTTCCCTTTGGTAAAGCAAAGGTCAAGACTTCAGTAAGATTGGTTGCCCCAAAGGCTGGAACAATGAGTGGACTCTTAAAACAGAGCAGTGATTTTGAGGGTGGTACATTCTGTTGTACATACAATTGCTTTGAATTGGAACCACTTGAGGATGCCTTATAACAATATAATAATCAACTTTTTCTTCAGTTTCTCTGATTTTACCAATAAATTTGTTACGATTCCTCCTCTTGTAAACTGCCTTTTTAGTTTTCCTTACTTTGTTCATATGTGGAATTATTTCTTTTTCTCTTCTATGCTTATCTAAACCTTATCTTTTCTGATCACCTCAGCATGGTTGTTTTTTAGTGATATTATTTCCTGACTGAAGTAATTGAGGTTTGTCTCTTTGCTGAATTCCTTTAGCATTTGTTGGCTCAGTGTCTCATTTGGTACTTAAATTATTTGCTATCTGGTAGTATTTATTGCCTTTTTTTTATGAGTCTCTTGTTACTTTAACAAGATTGTAAGCTCTGTGAGGCTACATATTGTATCATAAATCCTCTGTGCTCTTAGCAAGTGAATATTGATTTGCATATCATAGTCATAAAAGAAGTGTTGATGGCTTGATTAACTTTTCTGTGATAAGTTAATCATCTGTATAATGGGGCTACTCATATTTGAATGACCTTTTAGTGAGGACTATTTAGGTGACGTGCTGAACATCACATAGCAGCCAGACATTGTCGTGATGAGAATCTAGTGTTAGGCTGTGGTCATTTATGGAGGATTCTTGGTAGTTGTGTGGCCGGTCAAGAGTTAACATTTTGATGTCCATATTTGTCATCTATAAAATGGAATTACTAATGTTTATTTTGCAGTGCTTGATGAATATTGAGTGTGATGATGTAGGAAGAGAATTTAGCCCCCTAACGGGCTCCGTCTAACATACTTTGGACATGTTGTAAGGAGAGACTGGTCCTTCGAGAGGGACATCATGCTTGGGAGGGTGGAGGGATGGCGCAGGAGAGGAAGGCCCTCTATGAGGTGGATTGATTCAGTGACTGGGATAATCAGGATGGGAGTGTCAGAGATAGTGCGATTGGCACAGGACAGAGCAGAGTTTAGGGCTGTTGTAAATAGGGTAGCAATGAGTCTCAAGCGACTCGACGGCACATAACAACAACAACAAAACGGGCTTGTAGTAGAGAGTAAAAATCAGAAATTGCTAATTAAGAAAAAGAATTGGACAAACTCTCAAATACATTCTTAAAATTTAAGCTATTATGATGATTCCATAATTCTTCCATAATTCTTATCTTGAATTTTCAGATGCCATTTCATCTAGAAAGTCGAAGACATTTACTTCTGTTGAAACATGTAAGACATTAATAGTAAGAGGAAAGTGAGTTTGGTTTGATTTTAATATAGTTGACTGAGAATTTCTGTTGATTAAATTATCTGGATAATTAGTGTCAATATTTTTATCTCATGAGTTTAATATAAATGAGAGCACAGAGAAAAGAAGAGAGTTGTTTATTAAGAGTTAGGAAAAGACATGCTAGTTTTACTTGACTTTGACTTACTGTATCTTAGACTGACCTTGGATGGTGAAAAACTCAAGATTCCAGCCTACCTAGAGGAACCTGAGGAGAAAAACCCTCAATTCTTTTTGGCATACATGAGGTCACCGTGAGTGGAGATAGAATTGATGGTCATCAACCTTGGTTCTATCTTACCCATAGCCAGTTACTTAGAAGCTCTGAGCTGTGATATTTTCTTTAGGAAAATAGAAATCTTAGTATCTTGTTAAAAAAGGTGGCTGGTGAAGGAGGTGACTGGTGGTGAAGATAGTTTGTTCTCACATGCTAGCAAAAAAGATTGATAATTTAGCTGGGCAATCTGTGTATCTAAAATTAATAGTCTGGAAAACTCCACTGACGTGTTTTACTCAATAACACACAGGTTGCCAGGTGTCAGAATGAACTCTGTATCAGTGAGTTTGGTTTTTGTGTTTTTTTTTTTTTTTTGAGGGTAGATTATTGAGATTCCTGTGTATACCAAAGATTATGCAATACATTGGGAAATTAAATATTAAATTATTTAATAATTAATAATACACTCTCTTTAAAATTTAAGTGAGATCACATCACTTCTACTGCTTCAAACCCTGTTTGAGCAATGACACCATATTTCATGGAGAATAAATTCATATTTTCCTAAGGCCTCATATAACCTGTCTCCTTCCCCCTTTTCCCAACCTGAGCACCCACACCTTTCTCCCTTCTTGACACAGCGTCAGCCACATTAACTTCCTTGCTGTTCTTTGTACACACTAAGATAGCCAGGATACTCTTTAGGACTTTTTTGCTTCACTCTTTCCCCAGATAGCTCACCTTCTCAATGAACTCTGCCCAAACCAACCTAAAAATAACGGCATCGAGTCTAGCCTCAATAGTGCAACAATGCACTCTGATCCTTCTTAAATACTTTCATACTTCCTTTTTTATTCTTAGCTTTATTATCTTTTCAAGTACAAGATAAG